CTCTCCTGATCAACATGTTCTAATCTGCTCCTTTTATAAAGCTGTTTATGAGGCTCTCAGCTGTAAGGCCTGTGCTTGAATCTCAGCCTCAGCACTAATTCACTGTGTTTCTTTGGTGAGTGACTTAAGCAATCTGTGCCTCATTGTTCTCATCCGTAGAACAAACGTAGTCATAGTATTGAGTTGCGGTGAGAATCAACGATTGAGTCCATGGAAAGTGCTTAGAAAGCATTTGGCACAATGTAAGCGCTAGGTGAATGTTGGCCACTATGAGATATATAAAAAGGGTTTGCAAAATGTTAGCTATTATAAACTGGTGAAGTGGTATCAGCATTCTTACAGAGCACTGGTTCTCAAAAGGGTGGAGGGTCAATGTACCCCTCCCCAGTGGCAGTTCGGAAATTTATATGGGCACTTTAAGGTCAAGGGGCATGGGGGTGGCATAGTACTAGCATTTACTGAGAGGAGGCAGGAATTCCAGCCACCTCGCAACATCTGGGGCAGTCCCCTGCAGTGCAAGGTTTTACCAGGTCCCAAATGAGAGCACAAACTCCTGCCCGCTGTCCCCCGTAGCTGTGCTTGGATGGTGACATTATAAACCAGTGCTGCCGTCTGTCTCCTTTATGTGTCATGCATTTATCTTCTGAAGCTTTTAAAAAAACTAATTCACTCCCCTTTCCCACCATATTAATGTTAAAGATATAATAATGATAGGGCATTGTATTGATTTTTAAATTTAAACTAGAGTTAGGTTATATGATTCATAAAATTCATTTTATGGTAATAAAAAGAGGGATTGGGAAAATGCTGGAACTGAATTGGAGTGGAGGTGAAATACAGTGTAGAAATGGCCTCACCCAGCCCCTAGCTTTCCAGTGGAAATCAGGGCCCAAACACTACAGCATCTTGTGAAGTGTAACAATTAGTTACAAGATTAATAACCCAAGTTTTAAGACTGTCATTCTGGAGTTTTGGAGTATTCTTTAAGAATCTGTACATCTTCTAAAAACAAAAGAGAGAAAAGAATCAGTATATAAGTAAGACTTTTTTCTAAAGATCAAATTCTCATCCAATCCTGAGTTTTTACACTAGCAAAATCTCGGCCCCTTGCTCACACCCCACGTCCCTGGCCCACCACCCCCACGAGCACCCCTGGAGAAAGTGGTTGTGAAAGTCACACGTGAAAGCCAAGCATTCCCAGGAACAGTCTTGGGGAGAAGCTTGGATGGGCAGGGTGAAGGTCCATGATCGTCTCTGACTTTCTCCTTTGGCTTTCCACTTTTTCTGGTTCAGTTCCAAAGAAGACCTTTTGGGCTCAGGGATGATGCTGTCCACCCGCAACCTCCAGAGTCCAATATGAGTCTTCCAGAACATCCTGTACTCCTCAGTCTAGACAGAGTTATGGAGGAACTAATTGTGTTGTAGCTTCTACTTCTATTACAAAAAGATTGACGTGTTTCAAATTACTATTTTACTAACACTCACGAGGCAATCCCCCCCCCCCAAAGAAAACTCCTACTGTCCCCACCCAGAGAAGCCATGGCTGCTTATACAGATGTGCCCTGCCCAGAGGGTGCCTTTCACCTGGCGGCCTGTGGGAAGGGTGCCCCCTGCAGTGAAGGGTATAATACCTGGATGGCCACAGGTAGGGTGCCTGCTCCTACTCCCCATGTGGGAAATGAGTTCACAGTGGAAAGATTTTTTATATTAACCTTGTTGACTAGTCAGTTAAATACTGGCTTAACTGGCACCATTTAGCCACTATTTAAAGTCTGAATTATAGTTGAGTCTCCTTGCAGGCCCTGTGTTCAGTGACGGAGGCCCTCTCCCCTTGGAAAGCAGGGTCACACAGCAGCTCCCTCTTCTCAACCAGGGCGACGTGGTGCCCATGGGTTTTACAGCTCCCTGCTCTTTCCTGCCCCTCCCTGTCTAATACCCCACACAATGGCTGTGTCCTGCTCAGGGTTATTCCATGCACTTCAGCATCTTCGAGGAACGGGGAAGACACCTTGACCCAGTAACCGAGGAAACTGCCACTGACCCAAGTGCGCAGTTCCACCCAGAAGCTCCGAGTACCAGTTTCGCCTACAGGCGACACATACGTGTTTTTAATTCAGACCTGGAACCTCTTCGCTATGTTACTTGAAGCAAATAACCTACTGTCCATAAGCTTCAGTTTCCTCATTGGCAAAACGAGCAACAGCATGAGCCGCCTGGAGCTCCTGGAGGGTACCGTGAACAAATGCAGGTAAAGCGTCCCACATATTAAGTGCGTCCGAAATATTGGCTACTGTGATGATGCTCTTTCCCCAGAAGAGTGGTCTTCTGTACATTATAACTTCATAGCACAAACTACAGTCAAATAAAAATAAGTGATGTAAACTCTAGTGACGAAACAAGCAAGGGTTATGCCTTGGGAAAGGCAATTTCATCTTCCTTTTATTTGAATTATAAAGCTAACTCATCACAGCAGGCATTTGGTACATGCGATTTTTTTTTCTTTTATCCTCAGAGTGCTCTTCCACACAGCAGCCCTGTAAAGTAAGCATGGCCAGCTGCTATCTTTATTCCCATTCTTTCAGGGAGGTTAAGATGATTCCGTGGCATTGAAACTTGCTGTTCAGCATTTCATTTTGCAAGGTGTTCCACTTGTAGAGGCAGGGACTGTCCACTAGGGGGCACATGTCCTGTAATGGAGTGTGTACTGGCAGCCGTGGAGGGACTACACTCATTTCCATCAGCTCCCCCAACCAACCCACCAATCAACCAACCAAAAAAAAAAAAAAGCAATCTAAACTAAAAGTCACTGTATTTTCCATATGCATATATCTTTAAAACATCTCCCTTAGCCCTCTTATCCATGGAGGTTACTTCTGCAAAGCCTTCCCTGTGTAAAAATTCTGGAATCAAGATGGCGTGTCAGGATATGAGCAAGTAGGTATGCGTTTTGAAAAGCACTGCCAGGGGCCCTGATGAGCCCCAGGGGCTGGGAATCGCGGTACTAGGCTGCGCTACAAAAGAGGGACGTGTGCTGCCTGCCTTGATGGCCCAGGGCCGCTCCCACCAAACCTGGGACCAACACTTGGCCCCAGAATACGCAGCACGAGTTTCAGTGGGACCTCTACTGGTTCTCTCACTAGGAGTCAATTTCCGAAAACCCAGGCTGGAAATAAGACCACCGCCCTAGGCGGTCTTTGTCTAGAAGGCCCAGAGGTCTTCCCCAGTAAAAATTCATGTTAGAGGTTTTTACAAAACTCACTTTCCAGTTGCTGCATCGATAAAGTCGCACAACTACTAGGGGTTTATTTTCTTCATTTACGTTTATTTTTAACTGCAGGGAGCCACCTTTTCTTCCTCTTTTGGGGTGAGAGATAATTTTTTTTTACCTCTTTGCTAAGTCATTATTTATTAAATGAAAACCAAGAAGAAGGAAAGAAGGGGCATAATGAAGGGCAGTGAAATAAAAATGACCTGCCTTTGTCCCCCTGTTATTTTACAGTAAATATTGCTAGCAGAGCAGGTATCTGGCAGTTTATAGTCCAAACTACATTGGCCCCAGTTCCCACCTGCCCCTGGTCACACACACCAACACACACTGGAGAAAACTTTTTTCTGTTATGTTAATCATCAAGCCAAAGCAAACAGCCTTCCACTTTCTGTATCCAGGGTGGCAATTACATATGAAGACATCACGAATCCTCTAGTCAAATAAGAGAGGAAAAAAGCCCTCTGTATTCTAGGTCAGAGGGTGGGCAGGGAGTTGCATCAGCTGTCACACATGATGAAGTTGGTTTCCCAGCTGGGAACTTTCTCAGTTTCACGCCGCAGCACCCGAGTTGGTGAACAGAAGAGTTACCGAAGTCCTGAATTCAGGACTTGAATCGACTACCAGTTTACAAGGTCTCACTTGAGCATGTCATCTCAGCTCAAGGCAGAGGACCCATAACTAAATAAAAGACGCCAAACAACTCCATCTCCAATTAGAGAGAAGCTGGGTGGGAAAATAAAATAATTACACAAACAGGGCTGACAGAGGCGTGGCCAAAACCAGCTAAGAGGCAGCGAGACAGGGAGTGAGAAATGCAGCTGCTGAGCAAAGGGAGACTGCTTTAACTGCTCACTGCCCTGCTGCCCTTCTCCCACATAATCACAAATGGGTCCTAAAGACACCAGCGTTCTGTCCACGGTCGGTGATGAGGGGGCTAAGCACGTCCCATCTCAAGACAGTAGTTTCTAAGATGCCTCACAGGAATGGGCCACTGTTTACAAATGTGAAGTTGTTTCCTCACCCCTTTGGAAAAATACCTGAAAAGTAGGCAGAGAAACCACTTCACCAGCCCTGCATGCAGAGCAACCCAGAACCCAGACTGACCGACCAAACAACCAAAGGTGAACGTCTGCATAAAACTGCAACACGCTCCCGGCCGGTGGCCCAACTCCCCAGCCAGAATGCCAGTTTCCACTTTGAAAGCAGGGAGGTCGAGAAGGGTGGTGGGAGTTTTGACATGGAAACGCTGTCCCCGCTCTGGGGTCCCTTTACGATTCAACCCCTTTCGCTGGGTCGTCCAGGCTGCTGAGCCCAAGACTGCGCCGAAGAGGAAAACTATCCGAGTTTGCTCCGCGCGTTCCCTTCCTAACGTGGACGGGCGACTCTCTATGTCTCCACTTCCTTTCCAGCTGCGCTTTCCAGTCCCTACACTCCACTCCACATGGATTATCTGCAGGTGAAAATAAGGCAGCGTGCACTACGCAAGCGACCCCGTGCTTGGCACGTAGTAGGAACTCAAGAAACAGTTCTGGCCCCTACTGGGTCTAACCCTGTAAGGACGCTACGGCGGGGATAAGTTGCCCCCTAGTCGGTCAGAGTTGTTAAAACTCCACGTCACCCTTGACAACCCGGCCCCCTGGGGTGTGACAGCACGTGGGTGCGAGTGCGGGCACCCCGAGAGCGCGAGTGGGTGTGCGCGCCTGGCACGGCCCGCGCGGCGTTAACCCCTTACCTTCCAGCAGCACCTCCTTGCCTGCGCGCTTCAGCGCCTGCACAGCCTCGTCGTGGGTGGCGTCGCGCAGGTCGGCTCCGTTCACCGACAGGATGGCGTCGCCCACGTACAGGGCTTGGGTCTGATCCGCCGCTAGCCCCTTGAAGATCTTGCTGATGAGGATGGGCATCTTGTTCTCCTTGCCCCCCTTAATGCTGATGCCCAGCCCGCCGAGCTCCTGCTTCAGCACCTTCACGCCACGCTTCTGGTTCGAGATGGACTCGGGCACCTGCTCCGGCAGGTCGGTGAAGGCGGTGCGCACTCCAGCCGGCGAGTCCGGGGGCTGCGCGCTGCCCGCGCCCGGGTGCCCGGTGCCCCTGCAGAAGGTGCCATTGGTGGTGGTTCCAATGCCGTTGTACGCCGCAGCGCCCTCCTCGCAGCTCAGCACCAGGGCGTCCTCGCTCAAGTTCACCAGAACTTTGTGCCAGCGATCCCGCACCAAAACTTCCAGCAGCCCGCTCCGCTGCGCCCGGCCGCCGCCCCCACCGGCCGGCCCCGCCGCCGCTGCCGCCGCTACCGCCATCTTTCCGGCATTCTTAAAATGCCATGTGATTGCAAAACGGGGGAAAGTGGGGAAGGGTTGCGCGTGGAGGCCTCGGGGCCCGGGTCGTGGGGAGAACGCGCCCAGCTGGGAGGAGGCAGCACGCAGGACTCCACTCCGGGAGTTCGCAGACGCGCTCGGCGCGAGTTGGCAGCCGCAGCCCAGCCGGTTCCCCCCTCGCCTGATCCTGGGCGGGGTGGAGCAACCTAAAAGAAGAAGGAGAGACAGAAACGGGAGGGGAGAAAAAAAAAAAGCCAGCTGCCAGTTGCAAAACCCCACAGCGGGGGAGCCGCGAGCAGCGAAGCGCCGCCGACAGCCGGTAGGAGGCACGCTCGCGGGCCAGGAGAAGGGCGGGGACCGACCGCTCACCTGTTCCAGCCGCCGCAGCCTCCGAGGCCACGCGCGGCCCTCCGGCTTAGATCCTCCCCGCCTCCCTCCTCTGGGCGGTCGCCGCAGGGACAGCTTCCCTAGCGCCTTCTCCCCACCCGCCCCGGCCCTCTCCTCTCGGCTCTCCTTTCCCGCGGGCTCCCACCCCGCACCTCGGCTGGGGCGGTGTGTCCTGCCTCGGTCCCCTCACTGGATGTTCCTGAGCCCCCACACCCTTCACACCCTCCACTGCATTGTCCCTCGTCCTGAACCGCAGTGTCTCTATGTCTGCTGGTTTCCTCAAACCAAGGCTTGACCTCCCTGCTGGGCGCTTACCTGTCACTCACTCCCTTTCGCAGGGACTCTCCGGTGGACTCCGACAGAGGCCCAGAGTGCTCTCAAAGTGGAGGTGGACGGCTGTCCCGAGAACCCAGAATGAAGCGTCAGCATGACCCAATGCCCCCAGACTTCCTCTCTTTAAATGCAGCACACCTTTCTGACGGGTCTCTGGAGAGGTGTCTCTGCTGGCTGGGTTTCTCAGCAGGTCACTGCCTGCCCAGACCCCAGGGACAGATGTTCTTCCAGTTCTAAGTCATTACATGCTGTAGGCTTCTCACCTATCCTTCCCAACCCCCACCTGGGCCCCCACCCAATATTACACAACATGCTTCCTGGGACTTTCTTCCCAAGGTTTATGCTAGGAAGTCCACCATTTAAGGACTCAGTTGCAATAGCTTGTACCTCAAAAGTTTCATATTTAGAGCTCAAGTTGCATTGTCCCAGGGGAACAGTATTATAATTGTTGGTTACCTTCCCAGGTCCATCTGGAAATGCCAACATAACTCATGTCATGGCTCAGCCTCCCAGAAACCTGCTGGCCCCTGAACCTCTGCATTCCCTCCCCACACCGAGCAGATCTCAGGGACCCTCCAAGTATTTCACGTTCTCAGTTACCTCCCCTTCTCACTGTTCGCTTCCCTCTCTCCATAAACAAAACTCACAAATCTGTGAATTTCTAAAGGTAAACCCAATCCAGCCAGGTGTCAGGAGGAAAGAAATATGGAACACATTGCCACTGATATATGTCCTCACAGGAGTCCTGGAACCCTTCTGAAAGGAGTCACACTTTTCACTGAGAATGCTGAAAAACTCAGACAAACCCCTGCAGGGTGGTTGGTATTCCACGTGGGGTCACAGAAGGAGATGAAAACCTTTGGACACATTTTTTTCCTCTTTTGGAGCAGGAGGAGGGAACGTCTCTGCAGACAGATGGGAGGGAACCCTTGCGTTGATGCTTCTCTTTTTCTGTATTTGTCACCCACCAGTTTTCCAAACGCTTTTTTTATGCTTTTATGTGAAGCTTCCCGCTGCTGGGACAGCAGCCTCTGTGCCACAGAGTCACACAGGGAGCTGACTCAGGTGACTGCCAGTGCTGGGAGGGAAAACTAGGCAGGACTGGCCCCTGCCTCAGGGACGGAGGACTCAGGCACAGGGCTCTTTGGGGAACCCAGAGTCCGAGCATTCTAACCCCAGGTCACTAAGGTGGAGGTGGGCACCAGAGTGCCAGTGTGACAGTTTAGAAACTGAGACAGAGCTGCCATGGGACCCATCACATTCCCATCACACTTGTTGTACCTTTTGCCTCTGTGGCCTAGCAATGCGGGAGGCCCAGGCAAAACAAGAGAGAATGTTATTGGTCCACCGTAAGATAGGCAGACTCTGCAATGAGAGTTTCTCAGAATCTCTGTGATGGGCATGATTTTTTCTGTGTAAGCAACCTGCATGGGAAGCAGTAGGTTGCTTGTTGAACATGGCATTGGAAGGAGGGAAGATACATTTAATATCATTAGGCCTGAGGCATGTGTGATAACCAGAGACGACTTTGCCACTGGAATTATAGGGGCTTTACATGTATTATTGTAATCCTTCCTGAATTTAGGGGGGGAAACTTACTATAATCATTGCTCCCATTAAACAGTAAGAAAGCAGAGATACCTGTTTAATAACTTGCCTTACATAAGACTAGTGTTGTAGCTACTTAAATGGCAGTCAGGATTTGAAGCCAGCAACGAAGAGTCTGGATTCAACCATTGTCTGATACACTTCTGAAAACATTCAGAGCCTGGGGTGTGTAGCCACAGGGTCCACGCGGCACTGAAGCCAGTCTTTCCACGGGAGGCAGCACTGAGCGGAAGGCCCTTCTCCTAGACCACATGTAGGGGCGTCCAGCCAGCCCTGGCCTCTCTCTCCTTCTTCCCAAGGTTGCAGAATACCCTGCCCTTCCCTAATTGACACTATTTTTTTTTCTTCTTCAGACATGTTAATATGTTGAAACTGGCAACTGCTGGAGTCTTGCTGGCCTAGGCACTCTATCTTATCTTCCAGACAGCCGTGCACATCTGGGCTCTGATTAGTGGTGCTGACGCTCAAAGGTACACCTTACTGACCTCATTTCTCAGTTCAGGGTGGGACCACCACACCTCGGCCCCTTCGCACTCACAATTAACACAGATTACACTCTCCTGGGTCTCCCTTTGTGATGAATGGCCACTAGAAAGGACCAAAGAGACTTTCAGCTTCCTCACTTTCCTAAGTGTGGCATTTGAAGCTCACAGTAGAGCAATAGCAGACCCAAGGGCACGTAGGGGGTCTGTGGCAAAGGCACAACTCGGTTCCGTGTGTACGTGTCCAACGTCAGCATTCTACACAGTATACCTGATGCCTCATCCCACCGCCTTCTTGAACCTGATTTGTTTTGCTTAGCTCTGTGTCTCGTTCCGTTTCTTCCTTCTGTCCCACACTGGGATCCTCCAGTGTGCCCCCCCTTCCCGAGGGAGATGCATTCTCCCACAGATGTTTGAATGGACTTAGACTTGCAGGAAGCAGGTCACACAATCCCCAGTTCCTCAGAACCAAGGTTACACACCCCTCTCTCCAGCAGCGTGTGCAGGAGGGGGCGGTTTCCACCCGTTTGTTCCACAGGCACCGTGATCTGGGCACTCTCCCAGGTGCTACAGTAATGGGAGCCGACAAACCGACAAGGGTATGCCCTGGGGTGCTTACACTGTAGTGGGTGGTAGGGTGGAGACAGAGAGACGCTGCAGACGTGAGACCCTTTCATGGAGAATTGGAAGAAAATAAAATGGAGAAATAGGATCAAGAAGGGCTAGGGGGCGAGGGACACCTGTGGAGCAATGGCTGTCGGGGAAAGTCTTTGTGAGGAGGGGATGGCAGGGCTGAGACAGGGGTGGTAAGAGGAGAGTCTCACTAAGACCTAGGGAGGAGCGTCCAGGGACAAGGAAGAGCCAGTGCAAAGCGCCGGAGATGGAAGCAAGCTTGTCTGGTTCAAGGGACCAAAATCAGGTCTGGTGGCTGGGGCAGCCTGTGGGAGGGAGAGCGAGGTAGGAGAGGGCGTCGCAGATCACCGGTAAGGCCCTGGAGGACTGCGACACAGGCCGTCCTGCTTGTCTTCTCTGAGGTTCAACAGCCACCATATTTTGGGTTGTCAGGGATTATCCTGATTCCAAAGATTACTTCCTGGTACCTACTGAGTAAACTTCTACTGGTTCTAGCACGTGCTTTGATATTTAGGTTTGGAAGATATAATCATCGTGTTTTGGGCACTCTTCCCTAAACAGTGGGTTGAGCATCTTGGGGGCGATTATCCAGTAGACAGGATGGACAGTGGCTGTAAGGGGATCAGTGAAGAGAAATGCAGAGTTCCTGGACCCCTGGGGGTAAGTTCGAGAAAAGAATGAGAGACGTGCAGGAGGAGTGTGAGAAATGTGAAACTCTCAGGGTGAGTCCCACCTATGTAAATCCATGCTGACGAAATGCTAATGGACTACCTACTCTTGTAAAATCATAATGCTGGGTTAGTGATTCTTATTTTAAAGATGAAGCAGGGAGACTGGCAGATGCCCCAGGAACAGAAGGCTGAGCAGATTCTTTCTTCTTTGGTGCGCCCCAGTCGGCTAACAGGTATTTCATCAATAGTAAATGGGTCGGCAAACACCCTGTAATGCACATTCCTGCATTTACCTGTGCGGGTCCTTGACAAACTAGATAGACCACCACCTAGACTGGCAGCTGACCAGTCAGTCAGGTGGGAGTTACCTGGTTGCTCGCTGTGTTTAGAATGTTGCAGAGGAGACTTTTCCAGCATCAGACTCGCCCAGGGCAGTATTTAAAGCACTTAAATGTTTACCCTCCACCTTCTTTAATTGTGATTCACTCCTTTTACTTCCCTTCCATACCAACCTGCTGTTGAAACAAACCTTTTACCAGCCTTTTAAGATTTGTAATATAAATTGAAGTCGCTTTTCCTAAGGGTTTATACATTTAATCTTAAAAAAAATCCTGTAGAATTCTAGGTTCGATCCCATATTAAAGACATGTTCCTGAATATATTCTAGGAAGTTTTTAGCAGCTTGGCTCAAATAGGCATACAAGGTGTCCTGCTACAACGGTGAAGAGGATTAAGAAATTAAAGTTTCTCCTTTACACATTTTTTTAAAAGATATGAGATGAAATTGGCATGAAGTTTCAATAAATTGTTCAGGATCCTGCTAGGCTACCATTTAGACTCCAAAAGAGGTTGATTGTTAATGTGCTTTTGGAATTTCAGAAGCACCATGTCCACCACTTACTGTATGGAATCCTTCCTGTGCATTCTCCCTTGATCCACAAAAATCTTCTCCCTCTTCTCTGCCTCACAACCGGGTAGCCCATTTATTCCCCCACCACCCAACTTATTTCCTCTACTGCCGCAGATTCCTCCAGATAATCTCTCCGTTAACCCTTTGTACTGAACTTAGTCCATCAGTATGGCCACATAGAGATCATCTTTTTTCCTGAACTGAATTCTCATCTTTTCCTTCTATTTCCTAACTCCAGCTGAAACTTGGGCTCGTTCCCAAATACTCCGTCTCCCGCCCACTGTATTCTTTGGCAAGAACCTCGC